ACTACAATTTACTGCTAACTTGTAACGTATTGTACCCAACCAACACAGGTCATCGCCACACAGTAGCATTAGAATAAAAAAGGAGTTACTTGACTGAGGTAAATCTCACTAGCTATTTCGAGTTTAAACAGAATGGTACTCTCCTTATTACACATTCCACAATTTCCCGGAATTCGATGAAAATTTGGAACGCAGAACGAAAGATTAGTGTGCTATTTCCGACACAAAAATATGAAAAATCTTGACGAAGTAAATATACAGGCAAATCGTTTGTTCCATTATCAAATACGGCATCTATAAATACTTGCGAAGAATATGTGCATATGTTTTATACACTCAAATGCGCATTTAGGATTAAGAATTATCTTTTATTTACAATTTCTAATGAACAAAGTTAGTGATGTTGCCAGAACGTGGCAGTGTTTTGTAGGAATCGTGTGTTTGACGGTGCTCCATACTTTAGGAGTTATCTAAATCATCGCTGTCTAGTACAATAAACAATTTTGTAACATCGTTGTACAGGTAACAACACAAATCGCTCACATAGTCATAGCTTGCCAAAGGGATCAGTCGGTCTTGAAACGTTATGACATGTGTAATACATGTACGTAATTGTTTGTGTAGAAAGTAAAACTGTGATATCACTGTCTAGTTTCAAACTTTTTTTTGTCATTGTCTGGTCTTATTTAAGACATGTTCGTTGTCTCAGATCAACGTGTGTATGCACGAGTGATATTTGTTGTGCTCAGATAAATGTGAAGAGCATAGAATAATGAATGGTGCTAAGTAAAATGAAAACGAAATATCAGAGGAGTCTGTGACACTGGAAAACTTGAGAAAGTAAATACAAAAACAGAATGTATTGTTAAAAAGCCTGATTTACTCTTCCGTTCCAAGTGGATACACATTGAACAGATTACAAATGGAAATTAAAACAAAAGATATTTACTAATTATATGTAGCAGACACATATCTAAAGGCAGTTCTAAATTGATATTCTACAGAAACAAATCGTGTTAAAGAGATGGAAATCACAGAAACCTTACAGTGTGATGTTGATATAAATAATAAAACATTATACCTATAATAATAATGCTTTATAAACCTTTCGTTATTATCACGGTTTAAAAAATGGAGAAAAAATATTACTTCACTCTATACTGTACTTTACTATTTTCCTGAAGACCTTCAAAAGCGATCCAGATGTCACAGATGAAAATCGTTTCAAGTCAACCATGTGTAAAGCTATTTAAACCGAGGACGAGGAACGGGAAAAGAATGAATTCATAAAGCTGACGCTTTTATAAGCATTTATTCAATAGATACACGCAGTATGAAATCATATATTCGGTTTTGCATTTTTGTTACCACAAAGTTAGTGATGTTGCCAGTGACAGTGTTTTGTAGGAATCTGACGTATGTTTGACGGGCCCCATACTTTAGCAGTTATCTAAATCATCGCTGTCTCGTACAATAAACAATTTCGTAACATCGTTGTACATTTCGTAACAATTTAGAAACATCTTTGTTGCACTTTGCCTATTCAATGAGTTAATTACAAAAGTCAATAATATATCCATTTTGTACTACAGTGATACATGTAGTAGTTACTATAACAGTGATATAAAAAGGCATATAAATGAGGTTGTCCGACAGCAGTGCACTTTTATCTATTAAATGAATGCATCATATTAAAATATAATGATAATATTGTGTTGTAGTTATTTCCGGATATACAATACATTAGACTATATGTCAATACGCAAATACATGATTGATCTCACATATACAAATATGAATTAAATATCCACTTGAACAAAGTTCAGGGGCTTAAAGTATAAGGAAAATATAAAAAAATAAAATAATGATAGGAAACTATTCTGAAAGTACTGTAACATGCAAGTATAATGCATTAGATTAAGCGTACATCATGAACTAATTATGATTAGGAACAGGATTAACATAAACTATATATATCAATGCTAAACTTTGTAAGAAATTATCAAATCAAGTCGGATTGGTATCTTTGTGAATTCTCATTGTTCTACGTCAAATCTCGATAGTTGCGTTGTTCCTATTCCACGGCTAGTTTTTGCGCGTTGGATTTAGAAGTGAATACTTTAGTCGGTATTCCACCAACACTTTTTGCCGCATGTCTTTGAATGTGAAGTCAGAGTTGGGCAGGAACTCTTCAATGGTGCTGTTCTCGCTGACGTAGTCGAAGTACGGCCAGTGGGTTGTGTCCCCTGCGTCGTAGTTGTAACACTGAATGGTGGCGCAGAAGTCGGTTGTATTATTCCATAGCTTGTGCGTTTGGAACCAGTTCCTGTTGATCCATGTAACATCACCTGCGTACGCATTAAAGGTTTTCATAGGAACTGCATCTGGCTCTGTCGTCTGCTTGTTGTAAATTGAAATGTTGATTTCGCCAAACAGGACTTTGATGACTGCATTCGCGTTTCCATGGTTATGTATTGGACTGTAGTGTCCTGACGGCCAAATCTCGAGGACATACGGTATTCCCGGCGAATTTCCGAGACTATGTCCTAGCGTTACGCGTAGGTATGTCTCCTCTTTTCCACTTCCTTCACCGAATTCTCCGGCTTTCGACTTCAGCTTTTCATAAAGGAGACATCCCTCTGTCTCGATACTGAATCTGATGGCATCAGAGAGGAGAACATCATCCACTTCCGGTGGCCAGTTCAACTCACAGTTACGGATGTTCTCGTACAGCTCCTTACAGGCAGGCGGGAGGCTTCCTGATCAAAGGGAAATGAAGAGTCTGTTATTCAATTTTATTTGTGTACGGCATCAAAAAGAAAAAGGAACAAAAAGTATTTTCATTTGATTAACATACGTTGCATCTCGAGGCTGACGATGTTGAGACTCAACATATTTATTGAGTAAACCAATTATCGTTTATTAAAAAAATACATCTGAGTTGCATGTGTTGAATATCAATCAATTTGTGTAAGACATCAAATGTTGTTTGTGATAAACCTGATTTTTGCGTCGCCACTGTGAATCAGTGTACAGCTTTTAAATACGTAATAGCTTATGTAATGTTATCATATTCCTCGAAACTAAGTAAATGTGAAAGTTGTATCAATTAAATGGGTTTTTTTTAATAAAGAAACGACGACGTTATATATTGTCTGTCAATATAAGCAGACTTCAATCAATTAATATTGTTTTAAAACGATCACTAAAACGACTGTACTGCATTGTGTTAAGGAGCCCGGCATAATGTAAGCAACAATTATTTTTTGTCATATTTTTGTGTCGTCATTTCTGTAGTTGTCAGTTATTTGAAGGGTTTAGGAGCCTCGAACCTGTGTAACAAACAGGTTTGTTTGTCATATTTTTGTGTCTTCATTTCAGTAAAGTGTGCAAGTTAATTCACTGCCGTAGGTTACATTAAAGAGTACACCTGGTAAGCACTAGGTTACACGAATGTGTATGCCAGTTTTATGTCAGCAACCTGATGTCGACACGTCACCAGGAAATGTGTATCTAATGAAGCTATGAGGCAATGAAACATACAATACAACGACAAATACTGAATTCTGATGATTTCACGAAGGTCATATAATTTTTGAAATGTTCGTGCGGGAAAATGAGATTTGGGTTACGATTTCCGCTGAAGAGCACATTACGCTGCATCGGATGAATCCTCTTCTAATCATAAGGCACGGTACTTTTCATAACTGCCCTTGGTAAAATAGTACAGGCTTACGTGAGAACGGTATAGCATGTGAGAGTCTCCAGATACACGTATATGCATATTTGACTTGTAGACCTTACTTTTATCATATAATTAAATGTTTATGCAGTACTTAAGCTGATTATGACATACAGCCCTTTGTGTTCACTATTGATATAATCCATTTGTCCTTTGACAATAAAATTTATTGAAATTGAAATATTGATATAATAACAAAACGACAAGAAAAACCGAAGTGTCAACAAAACCAATATTGGACTTCAAAATCGATGAAACAAGGGCAAGCTGTGATCTAATTGTAATTTTGACACGGAGACTATTGAAAAAAGTCCAAGGAGAATAGGACTTGGTGTTTTGGAAGGGTAACAGTTCCCTGCCTCATCGACGATAACAGCCATATATATCCAGGTCAATTCCAAGCAATGTCAGCTCCATAAATGGAGAACACCAACATGCATACTACATGTAATGCGCTTAAACATTTCGAACTTTTTATATAATAAATAAATAACCTATTTCCCAACAATATTGGGATGGGGACCGTATAACTTGCCCGCAGGCTTAATCACTCAACACAGCGCGTGGAAGTTTGTCCGTCAGCACGGAAGGCATGATATTAGGAGTAAGCTTTTGAATATAAACTGCAACATGTAAACAGCACAGGTTTGGAAATAAGGGTTATTAATATCAAGAAAGGGAAAGTTCGCGAACGCATAGTCGAAATCGTCCGAATTTAGTAAACTGTCCTTGTTTTGTCATTATGTGAGTAAATATCAGGGAAAGCGGATGGAGAGTCTTTGGTGTGTTAAATATGTTTGGTACCTACCTGTCAACATGTACTTGCTATTGTCAAGTGTAAACAGGGTGACTTTTGAGCTGTCAAGGACGATTGGAGACATGTTACTGACGAAAGGGTTCTTATAGAATGCAACCTTTTTCTCGATGTCTATCACTGCAAATATGTTTAAAAAAGTAATCAAATAAAGCTAAAAATCATTAGAAAATACAAATCTTATTCTGAGCAGATTTTTAATTATCAAGATAAGTGATTTTTATCGTTAACAGTGTTTGAATGGTAAAATCAGCTTAAGGGATATATTCTTATTGTGCATAATATTATTTTGATATTTTCGAATATCGCTTCTGGTTTTTTTTTGGTTTTTTTTAATATTACTAGTAAAAATGTAATATATCCGTTGATAATTTTCACTAAACGAAGGGTTATTAAACATTATTAAAATACCCTAAATTATACAATGAAAACATGAATCATCAATTATGTACCGACGGGGCGTTAACACACAAAAGCAACTCCAAAAGTCAAACTGTATACTAAGGTTATAAGTTGGAACTTACAACTTGAAGATCCTGTTGAGCGCATCAACTGAACGCTATCATACAGTTTCACCATGCCTTGGTCCTCTGCGTTAAATAGACCATGGTATTCCTTTCTTATGCTCTCTTCTTCGGCTGGCGAAGCACCAGCGAGAAAATTGTACTCAAGAAGTGTGGTTTCTTCCATAGTGTAGCCTTTTCCGTACTTCAAAACGAGGTTGTCTCTGTTGTAACTGAACCAATAGGAAATCTTCGTATCTTGGACGTACCCACATTCCGGAACAGCTGATCTTTCAAGCTGCTGATACACGTTCTCATGCATCATGCCGAATTCTGCAAACTGGTTACCAACGGTAAGCATGATAAAGTCGTTGGTTAACGAGTGGGTCACGACGATCCTGAATTCACTGTTCCTTGTTATGTTGAAGGTGAAAACTCCTTGTCCATTGACAGGCATGGGCTTTATCCAGGTAGGATCATCGCTGAAATTCCCGTCCATAGTCGTTGTTTTGAGATGTTACCGTGTCTGTTAAAAAATTGATGACAAAAACAATTCTTAATATATGTGATTAAATGATACTAACAAGATCCCAACTTAGGAGTCCCAAGTTTTTTAGACATCATCTTATGCAAACATATGTCGATGAATGCGTAATATTCATAACAATGAAACACTTAATTCAAATATTTTCCATGTTATAACAATTATATTTCAATATTTCAAACATAGGACATATCAGAATTCTACCATTAAAATGTATATTTCTTAAAAGTATCCAAGCAAAAGAAAAACAATTAAAACCAAGCTGTCCAAAGAAGATATTGAATTAGATGCATTTCCTTTGCCTGTCTTGTGATTCAAGAGAATGTGTCAATATAGCAAAACAATAGTGATTAAATCAAAAAGATACAAAGTCTGAATTTCGACAAAAGTCTTCCTTGTCAGCAAGGTAAATGCTTTATAAAAGGTAACACCATGCATTTTTTATAACGTAAAAGATATATCATATCGTCCTTGTTCATAAAAAGTAATAACTACATCTTACAATGATATATCATTGAAAAGATATTGACTGAGTCAAACCTTGTTATATTTTATATATATTTAGGTTTTGATGACACATTCAATAAGGTATTTAGTTTTGTTACTCATACGCCTGTTACGCAGATGGGTTTTTTCTTTAATTTTTCAACGTCCGTAAATCAATTTTAATATTACTCTACTTAAAAATACCAATTTTACCAAGTACCCCTTCTGTTCTCGATCATTTACAATATAGATACACGTAGTTTGATAAATAGATGGTCACTACGTCAACCTGTTTAACGTGCTTTTGGTAGAAACGTAACTGTTATAAATATTGCTGACACAAACTAACCCCTTAATGATAGTTCTTCATGTTTCAGAGTTTTTCTAACATTGTTTTACTTAATGGCGATAGAAATAAGAACTTACTTTACGGGCTTGCCTTGCATACAACAGCAGTATGGTAACGAATCTACGTGTAGATCCTTATTTATATAGCTGCGTTATCTCGTAATGTTGATTCATTGCAAAAATACAGGATTTGAAACAAAGTTCAAACAACCCGATAACCTACTTTGAAAACACGCTAGTTCTGGTAACCAATAGATTTAGTACACGTAATCAGTAGTCACCGGATTTATATGAATTACACACTCTAATTCGTAAATATATCAAACAAAGATAAAGAACTGTTGGAGGAACTCTCTGGTTTAATATGTATAAACAAGAATGATACTTTATTGAGATTCATCTGATTTTTAGATCCCAAATATGCGCTGATAAATATATATAAATAAGTACTTGGTTAAAAATATACTGGGAAATATTGACACAGTTTAACCTTCGCCCTTCTCGGCAATGAAAGCGAACTTATCATTGATTATAAACTTTTCTATTAAACATTATTATGAAAACCTGAAAGCCCGGAGAAAACCTACATGGTAGGGCAGATTACCCCATGCATATCCCCGTCTGATCGGGGAAATGAACACTGGTCGCTTCGGTGAAAACCGAGCGCGTTATCCACTGCGCAACACGACCATTCCACAACTTATAATTACAGCAAATATATGTTAACATCATACCATATATAGTAAATGTTTTTGCACGTAAAAGGCATTTAACAGTGGAGGGCTAAAGTTTGATAAAGCGAAAATTTCCCGGCATGTATTACCGCTGGACTCGAATACAAATGTCTACGACCGCGCCAAAACACACTGACTGTTGGTAATGGTTAACTATGTTAAGATGCATAACAAGAGGCCCAGAGGGCTTGTTTAGCTCACATGGTTATGTTTACAGTACTTGATATAGCACTCCAGGGTAGGTACGTATGTACATATGAAATTTCAGAAAGATTCATCTAGTATTTCTGGAAATATAGCAAGAACAAACATCAAATGTCAAAATCCAAAAGGGCGACCTGGTGGCCATCTTGTTTTAATAAATACACCCTAATAGTAACAGCCTCTAGACAATTTTATGGAGACAAAATTGGGATAAAATCTCGTAATTCCTATGGAAGAAGAAATTTTATAAAGGTTTTACCTCTATTTCCCCTATTGGGCCCAACTCCTCTGCCCTGAGGGCTGCACCCACTGTTTATACAAAATTGAGTGTCCTTGGTCCAATGATCCTCTAGACCTAATTGGGATGAAACCCCTAATCCCTATCGTAGAAGAAGGATTTTAAAGCCTTACCTCTTTTTCAAATATATGGACCTACCCGTCTGCCCCCGGGTGGGTCATACCCACCGTTTATATAAAAAGGTGTGCCCTTGGCCTAAGGATGCCGAACATCAAATTGGGAGGAAATCCCTTAATCATTATGGTAGAAAAAGGATTTAAAGGTCTACCTCAATTTTTCTTATTCGGACCAACCCCTCTGCCCCTAGGGGAGCATCCTTACCAATTAAACGACATTGAGCTCCATTGGCCCAATGATGCTGGAGACTAAATAAAGATAAACTCCCTTTATCCCTACGCTAAAAAAAAGGATTTTGCATGTTTTACCTCTATTTCCCCTATTGGGCCCCTCTCCTTTTTTCTCTATGGGGGCACACCCACCGTTTTAACAAAATTGAATGCCCTTTTCTAACGGATGTTCCAGACCAAATTGGTATGAAATACTTTGATCCCTAGGGTAGAAGAAGGATTTTAAATGTTTACCTCTATTTCTCTTATTTGGACCCATCGCTCTGCTCTAAGGTGAGCCATACCAACCGTTTATACAAAGTTAAGTTTTCTTGATCAAAGATCAAAGAGCCCCACTCCATTGCCCACATGGAGGCTATACTCACCGTTTATTTCCTCTATTTGACCCCACTGCTCTGTCCCAAGAGGGACACCATCCACCATTTATACAAAATTGAGTTCCTTTGGCCTAAGGATGCTCTAGACCGAATTAAGTTAGAATTCACAGAGTCGCCCAGGACTAGCATTATTTTAAAGGAAAAATTGATGGACGGACGGACGACAGAAGACAGACGTCAGACAGACGACGGACGGACGACGGATGATGGACGCTGCGCCTTGGCATAAGATCACTTGACCTTCGGGCAGGTGAGCTAAAAACATCCGTTCACCAGAACTTGCCTTCGCCCTGAATCATAAAGCGACTGGATAAATCCAATACCTTTTTCTTCGGAAATGAAAATTAAAAACTTGCATTCTCTTTAGACATCCAAATAACTCCTTATAACTTTGAGATAATTTTGATTAAATATAACGTACCTTTCCTTGATGCTGGATGCTTGTTATTATCGCAGTTGCCACAGAGTTATCTTTTATCTCAGGAAAACCTAAAACATATATACATATACGTAAATCAAATACACCTAACAGCATCTGTACAATGCGTTTAAAATCATTACGAAAGCAAAAACCATAACAAAGACAGTAGAAAGAAAAGGTTGTGCTTATTTCGTACACAGAAAGGAAATACGTCATACAATCGTATCCAATACTTTGCAAGTAATAAATCGATTACGAGTTCTTGTCTCGTCAACGATTGATACTATATTTAATTGGCATTACTATCAATGTGTATTAAAGGTTGGTATTTATCAATGTCAGATGTCGCATATTATCCTACATCCTCATTGGTTAATTGGATCATAATCTTTCAGCGGTCGACGATTTGTGAAATAGACTCGATAATTCTTGTTTCAAAAACAGCAGGTCATTTAATGTTGTATATTATTATTATTATTATTAATATTCATCTGTGTCGTCATTTTAATTGTAAAGTAACAATGCTCTCTGCAAAATACAGTACTTTCCTCCGTACAATTTCCGAACGTTCCATCTTGTTTAGTAATTAAATCTATATTTAGCATCTCATATAGTAATTTACTTTATTTACTTTTATTCCGGTAAGCCTATGAATATATTGACCTGAAAAAGCTATATAAACCTCTATTTCGTTGCGGTTATTAAAATTTCAAAGGTCCCTTTATCCAAATATTAACTTAAGCAAAAGTCTAAACTTGAAAAATATTATATACATAGATTATTGATATACAGGTAGCATCCATCATACTAAGGACAGCCTTTGGGTACTGATAACCTATTAGATGTAGAGTATATCAGTCAATGCTAATCTAGATAAAGGACTTAATTTACCCAACATATACAAACTTAATGTCTCGTGTACTTCATAAACAAGATAATATCGAAGTGTGGAACAATTAATCGAACTCTAAATCGATGAAGATGAACAGAAGAATATAAGGAGTAACCATTCCAACCAACAGAATAAGCCCAGGATTATGGAAAGTCGTTTGGACTGGCCACCATTTTGTAAATATCAATTCCCTCCTGAGCGTTTTAGACGAAAACAAATCAGCCAGTCAGATTAAGCATATCCTATATTTGCAAACAATGCTTGCGCAGAGACATTAATCACATCTGTTAAACGTGTACAGTAAATATATCGTAAAAGGTTTTAATTTCATCACGTCGCCTTTTCCGCATTGCCCCCTGGGGGCTGGAAAAGGGAATCTCAACCCGAGGGTTAATATTCCCCTGTCTCACCAAGGGGGTGAATGATTATTTTTCTCTTACCCTGTACTATCATTGTGTATCATATTTACAATGCAATGTTAACGTTACATGATACAAAAATGATATATAAACAATAATGTCAATTATACAAAGTGAGAACCGGGTTAACGTAAGGACAATGAAATTACAAGTTACAAACATAAGCATAATTTATGACTCTTATATATAGACATAATCCTTTTACTTAGAAGCAAAGCATGCTTGAATTATTATCTTCAGATAAATTCTGAAAACTTTCCAATGTATCTATTATTACCTGTCGTGATAGGCTTTAAATTAGATTCAACTTCGTTTGAAACAAAACATAAATAGAGAGATTCATCCATTCGCTAAATTGTAAGTATCGTTCAGGTAGGAGTATTATTTCCTTCGTATGTGTTAATGTCTTTGACTCTTGTCTATGCTGGCTAGTGTATTGATGGCTAGTGTATCGCACACTGTGCTAACTGATAATAAGTTTGATCAATGGAAGCTTTTGTCACGTGTATATCTTATTTAAGTTATTATTTCATTTTCAGTTAAAGAGGTATTAAACACTACAGACAAACATATGTAAAGGTAACAAGACCACTGTGTAGATTTCAATAGAGACACAAAACCCGAAATCAGGATCCAAATAGACATTATATATAGTCATGCTGTTCTATGGTGTAGAATTAAGACAGCGATGTTTATTAGGAAGAGAGTACCGATAACGGTGTGTATTTGTCGGTCGTGGTTGTGCGGGGGTAGAGAAGTGACAGTCAGGTAATCCCTTCAGCAGGGGGAACAGATAAGTTGCTGACCCGTGGTACTGCATTGGTGTATATAGTGTATGATATGACATCATGTTATCGACATGTTATCATGCATCCGGTACGTAGGAGCATATCCGGATCAAGTATACAAAGACAAACTGTCAAACTGTGTGATCATATATTCAAACTGTATTATCAGCCCTCCATTCACATACCAGTTACACGTTCAAAATAATGTTTTATTTTATGTGAAATATTGCAATATATTATAGTTACTAAGCCAATCTGTTTTATCTAATTGAATTTCTCTACTTCTGCATGTTTAAGCTTCATGATGGACAATACCTTAAAAAGAGTTATTCTAAAGAAAACTTATTGAGCTATAATGGTTAATTCTATATATTCATATATTTACGTGTATACCAATGCATCGAACTGTTACCGTACGAATAGCGAATGCAGATACTAAACAGATGAGCAAATTACTCCCCGTCATACATGTTTTTTCTTGTACTGGTAACAAAAAATCCTGAACGTTGAATTGTAGCTTTGATTTATTAGATTGTTAGGACTATTACTCCAATTTAATTTGTTGATAATTAGCCAAACACTTTAAATGCAGGGACCCGCCTACCAGGATCTACTTAAGTGAAGTTTGTAGACAGAACGCATTATTCGTTGAAAGCGTTATGTACGTCTTGCAATACATTATACGGTCGATTTCAATATCACCTGATTTTGCACAACCATTCAATAATGTCGGTGAAGATTCTACAATAATCGCACTAGAAATGTTTATCCTTCATCCGTCAAACATAGTAACAGAGTATGTGGGCGACTGTTCTTCATTACACAAGAAGAAGGTCAATGTCGTTTATGAAAAGGATCTAATACGACCTGGGTGTATCGGGGTAAACAGTTTCAATGACGAAGTCGTGAAATAGGACACCCAAGGATGTCTGTCTCACTGCACTTTGTGTTTTCCTACTTTTCCTATTTATACAATTTAAACTTTATTATTTACTATATGCACTTCTGTGATTCAGTTACATTCTCTTCAAAAGAAATATCACATAAATTGAACTCAAAATCAATAAAACTAGAGCAAATATGAACAAAGGAGGGATTGACATAAAGAACCATGAAAAAGTACAATGATAATAAGACCAGGGGTTCCGTCAGGGTGAGCGTCGTCTGCTTCATCGACGGCACCATGTTAATCTAGGTCAAAATACATTATCATATCAGGTGGGCGAGGGAGTATGTGATTACATTATCATGTTCAACAAAGAAACATAAAATGGGAGATGGGCAACAAGTAGGAAATAGCATTTCGGGGCGCATACTGAAAAGAGGACAGCTAACAAATATCCGAGAAACCAGGAGACGGACCAATATAGCATGCGTAACGAAAACACCTAAGAAATATGCAAATAACATAATATACTAATTTGGGTAACTTGACCATGCTGTTAGACCTGATTGCTAACATTGCAATGTGCATATCACGTCCTATACAACACACTGTGACATAGTTGTGACATACAATGTAGGTGTGACATACCTGTGTACGGAATGTGACACAATGGATAATCTAAGCACCGGTATGGTCTCAGTTGCAATTTCAAATTAGCTTCTTGTGATATTTCTAATCATTTTCTTCATGTTGGTAAGTATAGATTATGAAATGTTTCTTATTACACAACCAATAAGTGTTTCTATGTGACGTTTCGATTACTAGTACGGTATGTACTATATCACCTTCATCAGACAAATGACCAGTGAAGCGTACGCAGACAAAGGTGTTAAATGTGTACGAGTTGTCTACAAACCGATGTCGTTTCGGATACGCTGTAAGCGTATGTACCAAAGTTGGATAAATACAGTGAACACCGTCAATCCGACCTTGCCCTCCACGAGGGAGTTATTTTTGGAAGTTAATTCGAACTTTTCTCTTTGCTCATTTTGTGAAGAATCCAGACGTGAATTTATTTGTTGATTGTATGGGAATCTGACTACAGTCGGTAGATTCTATAACAGCCTCGTTTATTTGACATGTCGTCAGAAAACACGGAAATCGTGGCTGCAAGACGCGTGAAACTGATAGCGTTTGAAATGAGTGATCTTGCGACGGAGCACAGGGGTTCGTTACACATGTTTGAAATGCTTATGTGCTGTGACTCATATCAGTAGGTCTGTAACATATGTGTTAGTAGGTCTATAGAATATGTGTATTTCAGACATTTGTAACTAACCCCTGTTGATCAGTGCAGTGTAACAGACGATATTTCTGATAAATTGCATGAGCGTTAAAATTGTTTCCATTACCGGCGTTGGTGATTTCAACCGATGTGCATTTTGTACGATATTGCAGTACTTGATCTTGCTTTTGTTGTAATAAAAGTATTTTTTTTATTTCATTTTGCACATACATTTACAATAACATTGTCAAGTCTCACAATGCCAAGCTATATTGCAACAGCCGTCATGTTTATTTACATTGGATATTGTAGTTCCGGTCAGTGCTGTATTAATACGCTAAGAATTGGGTCTCGTGCTGCATGATAATTAAAGTCCCATCAACGACACAGCTTTCAAAGAGGCTATATAATGACAATGCCATGCAAATGCAAATATAAGACTGTACTATAAACCCACCGAGGTGAACGTGAACTTTATCAAGTGAACAGTACTAGTCCTGATCCAGTGAAGAACATGTTGTGTGTTGAACAATACCCTAGTACAGTGTTGTATTTACATATTCAATTTTACCTAACCAAGTTTGCTTGACATTACATAAATTGTTGAGATAATTCTACAGTTTATAATAGTGAACAGTATCTGCCACGGTTAACTTACCTAGGTAGTTCGTCGTTCTATATATTTACATATGTTTATAGGCTAGGTCTACTGCAAATATACAGTGTATACAGTTTCGTATCTAGTACTTCTGCAAATTTCAAAGTATAGTTTGTATTTACCGTGAGTGGGAATGAGTGGCAATTTTTATATTTATTACTCTTAGGTAATTAAATTGTTCATTGAACTCAATATCTTTGTTGGCTTTATACATTAACAGAAACCTTGATTGCTGTCCTTCGTGACATGTGGATATTTTATTTTGAATCAAAAGTAATCTGTAAAACATTCGACAACTGCTCTTTTGACTTACATTAGCTACGCTCAAAATGGAGCAAAAATGCACGTGTTTGCAAACTAAAGTTTATATATTTAATGCTCCATAGATATTTAAACTCAAACGGTAATATATATATATATTGCAAACTTAGATAAATTCACGTTAGCACAACCACCTATCTCTACAAGAACACAAAATGGTACTCACCTTATTACATGCAGGCTGTATGAGATTTGTTCAGGTTATGACAAAATGGCAAGTAAGGGCGGTATTTATAGGTAATATTATATACAGTTTCGCGGACTTATATGCTATTGTGTCATGACAAACAGGAAATTATAATATATACCTGCTCAGAATCCGGGTAACATGCAGATCTTTTGTTGCATTGTTAAATAAGGCATCTATAAAAGTAAGTGTATAAAAAAACAGAATTCCGTAACATACCTTATTGCACATTTATGATACATAATTTCAATACATTTTGGAAGCACAGTAGTCTAGTGGTAGGACGCCGGGCTCGTGATCTAAGGGTTGCGGGTTCGAGTCACGGCACGGCACTGTGTGGTATATTTGAGCAGGATACTTTACTCCCGCTTGTTCCAGTCTACTCAGTTGTAAATAAGTACGTGTTTGGGCAGTGCTAGAATTGCAGAATTCTAGCTGTGAGCGCCGAAATTGCAGCACCTGATGCATGCTTCCTAGGGTGTTGAAATAAATATTGGGTGGTAGCAAAGGCCCTATAACCACGGATAATGATTTGTGAATTGCTTTGAGACGCCCTACGAACTAGGTTGTGATAAAGCGGAATATTAGAACCTTGAATATTCATTATAATTAGAGTAAAATCTTTCTATTGAAACGTCGACGGATTGTTATATAAACATGGCATTCGTGTGTATAGATGCATTTCGATACTGTAGGTGTTGATAACGTCAATACAGCCTTGTAAACCATTTACAAAATCATACAGGACTAAAACACACGAAGTTGACAGAGTCTCACTCCATCAGATGTTATCTCGTAACATATGACAGGATGTCGAATCAGTATGATAGTCACATTAATGGAAATTGTGAAACAAAATTGCCATTAAACAACGATCAACAATTATTTTCAAACCCAAATAAGATGATAATGCAATAGTCGAAAAATTGGACTAAGCAAAAGTGAATCTCTGAATTTATCTCAAATTATAATGATGGCATACACCAATTGGAGCTATCTATACAGGAAACATTTAACAAAGGAACTGTGACTGTAAATAATGAAATAAAATACAGCAATAGTGACTTTCAGTAAAATAGACTACTGACTGATATTAGTCTGAGTTGAGACTAACATCGTCCTATATTGGTGAGACACCTGATCAGTAATAAGGTATAACTATAGAATATTATATTCTATATACGTCATATCTTCTTCCCTCAGTAAGATTTAATGTAATAAATCAGTAGTAAAACATATAAAAATGAAAAAAAATAACAATGAACAAGATATGCAGACCTTGTCATAGTTTAAATTAAGTAATCCTCTCTGTTATTTCATAGTAAAACAAGCTTGCTATATTTTGTCCATGTAAGTTCGATATACAAATAAAATATCTGTATATCAATTATCTCAACGCATCTTTAGATGTGAATGGTAGATAATCTAAATATAAACTTATGTAGTCAAGAGAAGTATCGATTTCAATTAACCTGTTCGGAAGGTATTATATGTTGTCGACAGTAAAACAATCCTACCGATAACATTATATTTAGGCTCATGAAGATTTGTTTGACCAGTAACTTGATACATGTATCTATATAAACGTAATGCACATGATTGCACTTATACAATTTGGTAACAGATTTATTTTCTCTAATGTCAAGTTATCAAAGTCATGCTGTTTTGTCCTTCTATGACTCATCAGTGGTGTTAGGGACCAGTAAGGTGGAAATCCAAGTTGTTTTAATTAAACTAGTGTTGACACAGAAGGGAGGGTGCATAAACCCTATAATTGCATTTCAACTACTGTTTTATTTCAATTAATTACTAGTGAAACGTGCTATATTATTAAATTTGCAATATATATATATATATGGTTATCAAAGTTAAGTTGAACTGAGTGCAATTAAGGACAATAACGTGCACTTACAGATAAAATGCTAGATTCATTATTTAACTCACACGAAAGCTAACTTAATATTATGTAATGAGAAAATATCGTTGCATGTAGTTACACAATACACCTAATCGTCTTTGTGTCGACGTCAACAGACAGGTTCCGGATCAGCAGAACCAATGAATGTGCATTTAAATAGAATAGAGATTTACGATAAGTCAACTCTCAGCAGAACCAATGAAAACGCATTACAATATAATAGAAGTTTATAATTGGTTAACTCTCAAGGACAAAATACTGTTTACTTCTTTATCTGTATAATACACATATTTCTTAAAGCTTGCATATGACCTTCATATCATTTAAATTGAATTGATGACGCAAATAAGACTTGTTACCGACAAAAGCACTAGACCTTATACTTCCAGAACTGTAAAGTCAAAATCCTGTTTACCTCTTTATCTGTATAATACACATATTTCTTAAAGCTTGCATATGACCTTCATATCATTTAAATTGATTTGATGACGCAAACAAGACTTATTACCGACACAAGCAAAGCACTAGACCTTATACTTCCAGTACTGTTAGTGTGCGCGAGCAGTGTGTTCATTGCCACAACAACCTTTATCTTGCGCCATTCATCAAATACTTTGCAATCAACTTTGTACAGTCAATAATTGCCTCCATTTTAAGAACATTGACAAATTATCTTCTTACGCAACAGCACATAACAGACAAATTTTATGCAATAAAGTTATTTAAATATACAGGCAGTAAACATTTTCAATAAAAGTTAAACACTTGGTTATAAACCCAATTGAAATTAAGGAAATGTACATTGATAATCTGTACTGTTACTGTATGGCCATATGATCTATGGAAAAGTTTTGTACAATGCTCAGCCTATGTGGATTACAAAACGGAATAATGCATGCGAGTACCATCAGTATCATTGTGCATTCCTTCTTCAAATTTTGTCATTTGATTATTCAGTACATTACTGGAATGGTGATTAAACTTATTGTAATACTGGATTAAGCTTAAATATTGTCTTTATATACTCAAATTAATGTCATCTGTTTCTCGTAGTTGATGTCAATGTTTTACAATTCCAGTACATGAGTGTTGCAAACTAACTATACTTTATTGAAAAACATTATACAGTAATTAGTAATGAGCATCGATATATGTAACTGTTATTTTCATTCATAAAAAAAAAGATTTTTCTCAAAAATTGTATTTCACCCAGTCAAATATTGCGTACATTGT